TTTAAATATCAAGTTTTTTTTTTTTTTTTATGTATGCGATTAGAAAAGCGTCTGCCATACAAGCAGGAGTTCTCGAAACACATGCACACAAAAGAAGAAGTCCAGGAAAGTACAAACAAATACATGCCTTTTCAGTTGCATTGCACATGGCTATCAAGCTAAGAATCTCATTCAGCAGCTTTCCGTAAACCCCCATAAAGATGCTATTTAAAACAAACTGTAAAACTATTTAAAATGAAGCTTCTATTTAATGGCCATTCCTGTCAGACTTTAAAAAAGAAATGGCACCTGGTTTGTATAGCAAGGAGTGGCAAGGAAAAGTCACTGGAAGGGGGGACCCAAAAGGATAAACCTATTAGATGAAGCTCAGCTTAACACAGCATAACATGTCTGACAGGAGGAAAACGAACCATGAACAAGATTAGCAAACATTTGCTCGTCAGACAACTTTTCCATTCGTTTTTTTCCATTGTGTCAACAAATGCCCATTGCCGAATCTTTCGCAGAACAAAGCAGAGTCCTCTTACCTGGTTTGAAGTAGATTTTTTCCGTTCAAGTTTCAGATCGTTCTTCATGTCGAGGGCTAACGAGGAATCATACGTCTTTGACCTTTAACAGAGGAAACATTCAAATCCGTAAGCCTATCAATATTTCATAAACAAGCTGATGTTACAGCAAATTAACCTGGACAGTCCACGTGAGAGCAATTCAGAAAACAGCTGGGCCGGAGGGGGTGGATTTGCAGAAGACGTCACTTGACTCGATTTTTTTTGCCAACAATTGACAATCATTTTCACAGGACACCTGTACTGAGCTTCTGATTCGTGGACAGGGATTAAATAAACTGTCTGTTCAACTTGGTAAACAAAAAACCTAGAGCGACCAGAGGGCCTCCAGCCAACAAACAATGGCTGCAAAATAAAGAGCCCTGCTCCTGCCCAAGAAAACAGCAGTCATCGAGACATGTATGACTTGCATACATTTGAGGGTTATATAATGAATACAAAGGACATCAGCCAGCCAAGCATACTGAAGGTAGTCAATCGGTCGCCTAGACCAAAAGTTGAAGATTTAATGAAGAATGGATAATCTTGCAGAGACAGAATCGGCCACTTTAAGACCCAAGCCAATTTTTGTGTGCTCATTTTTTTTTGACACAATAAAAAAAAAGGGATTCTATTCATTGTGACTGGACAAAAGCATTTTTTTTTTTTTTTTTTACAGTGCAGATGTGCAAAGAGGAAAGTATATACTACCGTTAGATCAGTGCAGAATGTGGATGCAAGTGTGCAATAGTGCTTACTTCTGGAGAAAGCTGAAAAGACAACTGTGCATGTTTGCGATTTGCAGATCCAAGAGGGTATGCAATTTTTCATCTAATTAAATTGTATTCTGCAGCAAATGGAAAAAATTTCAGTTTGTTCCAAAGGGCTGAAATGGATGTTTAAAACAGGTTAAATATTGAAGCTTTTAGCAAAGCAAACAATACATTCTGCCATGAGCGGCTATAAAAAAAAAAACCCGGCACAATGTATTTTTTCCATGTAGCCAGTAAAGCGTACAAAAACACATACAACTTACTGGGGATGTCAAGTGCGGAAAATGTTTTCATCAGAAAAAGTGACTAAGAGGACACAGAATGGTTTACGACGCCTTTCTCAGTCACTGATCTCTGCTACAAATGTGTAATCCATTAATCAGAATGCTTAGAATGTGCATCACGCAGGTTCGTCCCACACAATTTATAGTATGTGTGAAATGCAGGAAATCTACACCCTCCAAACCATTTCCACTGTATGGTGATGTTCACCTCAGACCATAAATCTGGCCATACACTGCAAATTTCAGCCAGTTCATCAAGAGTTTGCAGTGGGTACCCCAATCCAGTCCCTCCACTGTCACGGCAGAGAACCGCGACAGGATCGAGAAGTGAGCGAACGCCGGTATGTGTTCGCTCACTTCCCGATCTACTGAGCAGACGTGTGACAGTTTCATTGTCACAGGTCGGCTAGAACTATGAGGATGAGTGAAAAGCACTCACCTCATAGTTCTCCTTTAAAGTCTATTTCCACTTTTGCATTTGAGAAAACCCCACTATATGTTTGTTACGGGTTCCTATTCACACAGCATACCAAAATATTGTTTTTTTAAAATAGATTTCTTCCCTTTTAGATATTTCTTTGGTGAAAGCCTTTTAAGCAGATTCCAAAAGTAATCTAAGCAGTTTGAGAGTGGAACTATAGTGTCAGACTTAGCTTCCCCTCATTAACATACAATGCTTCCGAGTCTAACCCTTTGTTAGGATAGTGTTCACATCTAGTTTACAATGGATAATTAAATCTGCCAGCACAGTACAGACAGGGTTTATTTGATATTCTTAGAAAGGAGGAAAAAATGTGCACAACCCCCTTCCTTACATTATATAGGGGGAAGCTCTAGTTTTTTTTAAAGTATAAAGCACTTAAAATGTAAGCAGCAATTTTTTTTTATACAATATGAATGGGAATATGTAACAAATCTAAAGAAAAGTTATTTAAAAGGTCATAAGATAAAAAAAACTGAAAGAAACCAGCAGCAGCGGTAATTTACCTGGCTATGGGTGGTATTTGCCTCACTTCAATCAGTTCAGGCTCGCTGCTCAGGACTTGGGGGCCACTATATGGCTTTGCTGCTTTCTTTTCCTCAGCTCCATTCTCCGTTTCAGAGCTGCAAAACCGAATTAGACATTACAATCTAATTACCAACATGACCAAGGAACTCTATGTTACATATGACATGCTAACCATGTGACAGCTTGAGAATTTTACAAGACTGAAGAATGTCATTTAAACAATAGTCTGTATTGCAAAGAATAAGGAAGGCTTCAAACCAGTCAGATTTTTATTGCTGTATGCCCCTGCTATGAAGGCACACACTCTTTGTGCTGGTGATAAAGGGTCAAAGAAAAAAAGTTGGTGGAAAAAAAAATCAAATTTGTACAGTTGTCACCAGAACAAGCAGGCAAGGGTAAATCTTGGACACCTCCTAGTGACCCAACTGTCTAAAAATGAGTTCCCCTCATTCGGTAGAGATTGCCTCCCAATTCCTGTTACATCTCTGAAGGGAAATCTCCCCAAAGCAAAAAAAAAAGGGGGAAAGCAAAAATAGAACCAAGGTAAGGTCTAAAGTATGGAAGCACTCTTACATGCATCCTTATGGTCAGAAATGTTTCCACTGCAACAAAAATTAAAACCGACACTTAAGGATTGCAAATCCTACTGAAATAGGACAGACATTTCTTTTGTGGTTTAAACGTATGCTGCTCCCATAGGACCACATGCTAAAACCCTCAGCTTTAATGTGCATGCTAGTATAGTGTGGCAGGTCTGGTGGGTGGTGTGACGCTATGTCTCAGCACATCACACCATTTACCTATTTTCCTTCATTTGGAGTGTACAAAGTGTATGCTCTATTCAGGTCCTTGCACAGCAGTGTGGTCTGCTTTTGTCGCAGCACAATGCACATTACAGTTGTGTCCCATTCACAAGACAATTGTTTTCCATGTGCCCATGCAGTGATTCGTGTTGTTCAGTTGCTGGAAAAATGCCAGTCACCGCTCATGATGTGAACAAGCCCTGATCGCTTGCTCACACATCTCCATTTAGGTGCGTGTTTTTTTGATGCATGCACAGTGATTTCAATGAGGCCAGTTCACACCATTGCATTCAGTTCTACAGCCAAGTACAGCAGCATGCTTTTTTTGCACCAGAACCTGCTTAAAACACCGGAATGCATAAAAAAAACATATTGCAAACTTGTCAAAACGCGTATGCATTCCCGCATACGGTACATGCGGAGTAACGTGTGCATTACCCTTAAAGAAAAAGCACCGACATCAAGGATTTCACCGCTGGGGCTGTTTGCCATCACCATTCTGGGCCTGAACACCGCAGGTAATCAAAATACTCCAAACGCAGACCGACTTGGCTGACATGCAACTTTGTATGAAAACCCTGAAATGCTGCCTGTCCAAGCACTTCGTTTAAAACAGATGATTTAGCTCCTATTCAAACCTGTTTTGTTCTGTTCCCCAAAAGCATTTAAAAAGCAGCTTATTTTCAATGGTGCCCATTTACACCTGAGAAATGTGTTGCCTGTACCTCGAAAAACTACAGCTTCTTTTCGGGCAGAATCCTGTGTTTTGACCCCAAGAGACTTCAATAGGAATGCCTGAAAAAAAATTGCAAATAATGCATTTATTGCACCCAACAACTGTCTCCTGTTCCAAAGTTTCTAGCTTACCCATGACGAGCCTGAACAACATGCCAAAGAAAAATTATATAAAAATTCAAAAGCCACACGCAACGTACAAAAACATGCTTCTAAATTGCCTGACATACACCCAGCTCAGGTGTGAATGCAATGCAGGCTTAATTGGCAACCAGCAAAATGCAAAGTTCAGTTAAACCGTTTCCACACAAGGATCTCAAAAGACATTTTGGCAAACCTATTTTGCGTTCTGCTTCTCATCAGGTAGCAAAATCTTGAGGTCCACATACATCGCAATATGATCTAGCAACCCAAACAGTACTTGCCGATTCTCAAAAATCCTAAACACTTGTTTAAGGACCTCTGGCCCAAGGACTGGAGTTGGTTAACTGACAAGCATATGTTACGGTATGCATATCCCATCTGAACACCAACACCATCAAACCCTTATCCATAGTATAGAGTTCTTTGATCTTATCTTTGAAATTGAACCTTAGCATTAGCAGCATGAATAGAAGCCTTGCGTTGTATTACCACCATAACTTAGAATCTGCATACATTTACAGTTTATAGAACGTCTACAAGGACTTAAGTGCTGATGCAATGCAAACCTGTGGGCAAAACAAAAAACTGCAGGCAACAGAAAACTCTTAAAGTTTGACATTAGGCATGTACCCACCGGGTGTTGGGGGCAGTCCATTACAATTGCACCACATTTGCAGCATGGAGAGCGGAGGTTGCAAGTATGGATGGTTGATCTGCTCCGCAGAACAGCTGTACACCTAAAGTACAAATTTACCAGCTTTCAGAAGCTCTTTTTTTCACCTACACTACAACCAATGACTTTGTTACATCACTAGCTTAAAATAAAAACAATCTAAAACCAACCCTACAACACTTGTTCTCAAGTAAAGAACCAACAAATATGACACCCATTATAAAAACATTAATATGGAAATTGTTAATGCCTGTAAACCTGCACTATAGATACAGATTTTTTTTTTGCTTTAACTTCCAAGCACAGAGGCTATACAGGCTTACATTCACCTAACACTATGTACCGTCTAGTCGGGAACAAATAGTGGGGAAAAAAAATTTAAACAAAAAGCGTCATACATCTAAGAACTTCATAGCCAAGAAGCTTAGCGTTGCCTTCACTTTACAATAAAAGAGTTCCCTGTCTGTGCTTGCTGGATACAAAGAAGATCACCAGAATGCATGAAGCAGCAGCTGCCTTACCTTTAGCTTGGCTCACCTTACAGAACTGCAGCAATGAAATACCTGATGTCTGCTATATCCACAAGAGATGACATAAGAGGAAGTTGCCTTACAGTACATTACTCACAAGATCCAAATGCTTTTTTTTTCCCCAATAACCTCACGTGTTTGCAAATCACCTGACAAAAATGCCATCCGGCACACAGAGGTAGGGCAGAGTACAGACTGAACCCATGAGGCACTCAACTCAGAACCTTTACAAGAATATTACATCTAGTACATTACAATATAGCCAAGGCAGTCAGGTGTGCTTTACACTCACAATAATATCCACACTATATGTTCTCACTTCAACAAAAAAAAAAAAACATCTGCAGGGACACTGTGTGCTTTAGTAAATAACACAATACTTTATTCAAGGACCATGACACACACGCCACACACATGCGCACCGCTCTAATTCTTTGAGCATTGGCCAATTGGCTCCCTGGGATTTGACCAGCCCTGATAAGATATATACAGTGGTGTATTTAGGTTTGGGGCTGCCCTAGGCAAGACAAAACTCGGGCGCCCCCCACACACACTAAATTTACCCCACCCGGCTGTGGACTCAGGTAAGCTTTGCAGGGTCTGTGGTGGGCTCTACATTATATGTGGTGGGCTCTGCAGGGTCTCAGGGGGGCTGTGAAGGGTCTCAGGCTGCCAAGCCCACCTGAGCCCCCGCAGAGCCCACCACAAATCCTGCACAGCCCACCATAGACCGCGCAGAGCTCACCACAGATCCTGCAAAGCCCCCTTGGGACCCAGCAAAGCCCCCCGCAGATCCTGCAGGATCTGCGGGGGGCTTTGCAGGCTGCAGAGCCCGCTATGAATCCTGCAAACCAGAGACCCGGCAAAGCCCCCCAAAGATCCTGCAAAGCCCCCAAGACCCGATAAAGCCCCACACAGATCATGCAGCATCTCAGGGTGGTTGTGCAGGATCTGTGGTGGTGGGCTTTGCAGGCTGCAGAGCTCCCTATAAATCCTGCAAAGACCCCCACAGATCCTGCAGAGACCCCGCAGTCCGCAGCATCTCAGGGGGGTCGTGCAGGATCTGTGGTGGGCTTTGCAGGCTGCAGATCCCCCTATAGATCCTGCACAGCCCCCCTGAGACCCAGCAAAGCCGCTCTGAGACCCTGCAGGATCTCAGGGGTGTTGTGCAGGATCTGTGGTGGGCTTTGCAGACTGCAGATCCCCCTACGGATCCTGAAGAGCCCACCAAAGGGTATTGCACAGCCCACCTGAGACTCTTTGGTGGGCTGTGCAGAATCTATGCTGGGCTCTGCCAGCATAGTCCTCTTACCTTGCACGGCCTGACCTCTTTGGAACCCCGCCTCCTCATCCTTGGCGTCCGACACGGCCTCCTTGTTATCTTCGCCGCCCGACTGGAGCTCTGTCTTCACCCCCCGCCTCTTCCGTCTCAGGGGCCCCTTGCCAAATTTCATACTTTAAAATATATCTATATCTGGTTTGGTACTACAGACACCAATATACACACAATAAGGCCCCTTTTATATCTGTAGGTTTTGTTGCGATTCCTGCATCAGAAACTTGCGTTTTACTGCATCAGGAATCCCTAATCTGGCACTTACAAGTGGCAGCTGTCACCTATTCAAGTTAATGATCAGGTGACAGCAGCTGCATGTAAACGCCTGCCCACCACATGTAATGGAATGTGATATTACATGCGGTTAGAAAACACTCTCCCTGAATGCACAATCATTGCGTCCAGGGAGAGTGATTCCTAACCGAATGTAATCATATCACGCATCATTACATGCGGTGTGCAGGCGTTTACATGCAACTGCTGTCACCTGATCATTAACTTAGGTGACAGCTGCCACCTGTAAACGCCAATTCAGGGATTTCTGCTGCAGGAAAACGCAAGTTCCTGACGCAGAAAT